TTTGGTTTTGCAAAGTTGCAGAACTAGGCTTTCCAGGAGGTTGAACTTCAAGAAAATTAGCATTGATATCAATCAATTTCTTTTTGAATAAGTTTTGTATTTGTAATTGTGCCTGTTCTTGTACAATGGCCGAAATATCGACCATACAAGTGCTGTTGTCAGGTGTATTTTCAGTGACAGTGTCGTCCTCTGAAGCTCTGACTGCCGCCTCCACAGGAGGACTTATGTCTTTGAAATCTGTCAACCCGTCTACGCAGGCGGGTTGAGACAGTTTATTCAATTTAATTCTCTTCTGAACACTTTTTTCAATCATTTTCATGATCAAATTCCGATGCTCCTTTGACCAATTTTTGCAAATTTTGCATGGGAATGACTCGTTACAAATACGATGTTTGTAACATTCATCGTGCTCATCCAGAGTGTTCATCTTGTCCGGACACCTTACACACTTCTTAAACTTATCTTCCTAGAGCTGTTTCTCCATCTTACGATTCAAAAGCGTACGGGGAAAGCAACGCATGTGCTTTAATGGCGGCCGCCGAGAGAAACTGAAGAGTTACGCAAGGGAGATCGATAACTGAAGGTATTACCGTATTTATAGTAAAAAACTCGACGAACGTAGCTAGGGGAAGTAGAGGGAAATTGCAACTAGTTAAGGAGGCAGGTAAGTGGAAATATTGAAGTGAACAACCTATTGTCCCATGGACCAAGAAAATGAGTTTAAGGTTCGATGAACCATACTGGACAAATCTGTACGCCTGACAATCATTTCATACACCAAAACCAGATGTGTCGGAATGACACGAAAGGTCCCTCGCAAAAAAAGCTTGAAGCCATTTTTAGGAGTGGAAATTTGAGAATGAAAGTCTGTATAACTTATAATTTAAGTCCAAAGCCTGTAATTTCAGCAAATATCAATGGAGCGGAACCAAACGTATACTTGATCTGAAGACTCACAAACTAAAAATCAGCTCAATATATGAAGTGGTTGAAAAAAGGCTGTATAACTGTTTGTTGCAGAATGACGGAATGAAGGATAAGGGTATAACTATATGACCCAGACAACTTTGTTTGGGGCCATAATAAAAAGATGTATTGCTTACAATTTCCAAGAGATGGACAAAAACACTAAAACTTAATTAACATTGACCAATAAACCTTGAAAATGAGGTCAAGGTCGGAGGAAACCTGCCAGACGGACATGTTCACTTTACAATCATTCTATACACCATGTATAAACCTACTGCTTATAATATCTAATATGCGGACTCAACCACGAAAACTTAGCTTTCATCACTGATCCATGAAATAAGGGCAAGGTAAGGTGAACCTTGTCCGACTGACATAGACCTTGCAAGAATCACATATACCAAATATTGTTATCTTATTTCTCACAAGTGAGAAATTCACATTACAAAAAATACTATTCAGTAATTTAAGCAGTCACTAAACCATGAATATGTGGTCAAGGACAATGGACATGACAGAAGTAAATCTTTGTAACATGAAGAATCTGTATACTAGTAATAGGTTAATAAGACGCATTCATGTCTTCTATACTGATATTTATAAAGGTTTATACAAATACCTTACACTGTCAAATTATCATCCGTATGTCTTGCTTTGTCCACCTTTTGTTGTAGACGAGACACAAATGGACAATATAACTGGGAAAGGAATCAATTGAGGATTTCTGTCATGATGTTTTGTTGATCTTTTAATGCTGATAAGTATTGTTCTTTACAGTTTCTGTATTATCTATTATAGTTTTCAAGATACAAGGTAAAACGCAACAATTGTCAAAATAGTTGTCATTTAAGGGCAATATATCCTCCAAAGTCATCTAAAAATTTTGTCATAGACATTTTTTTCAAGGAACATTCAACAAAATTACAAATTGGCAAAATTGTCATTCAAGGGAAACAACTTTCAGGAGTCAATAAAAATTTAAGTCATCACTACAAGCTGATTATTTTGGTTTTTATTGTATCATAATTTCAAAAATTATAAAATCAAATAAACTGTTGACACAGATATATGGCTTGCCTGTAGGTTACTTTGAAAGTAAAAAGCAAATATTGATATCAAAATGGAAATACAGTTAACTTGTAAACTATGCAAAACATTCAAAGTCAATGAACCATGACTAAGATAATATCTGCTAATACAACTCATACCAAATATCATCGAGTTATTAAAAGTGGTTTCCCTTTAAATAACCTAATAACAAACATGTAACCAAGGCAAACAATTCCAACTGTCATTGGTAATGAGATTTGCTAAAACTAATGCAACTGCATACCAAATATCATTGACTTACTATTAGTGATTCATTTAACTGACCTAACTAATCACAAACTTAACTAATTGATGAAACCTTCATTGACTAAAAACAGGACTTCTATTTTAAAGTCTTGCCTCTGTTAATTCAATGACCGTGAGACAAAAAAAAAAAAAGGCAAAATGCTTAATCCAAGGACAATATCACTAATTTTCGGTCACGGTGATCTATTTGTAGATCTTTTATTGCTGTTATATTTTTTCTCATTATACATGTAGATGGTTGATCAATGATAGGTTTCAAGATATCTAACTTTTATGGTCCTACAGATGTATTTATCAATCCTGACTTGGTGAATTCTTGCTGTTTTCTACTTCTGTGAAAGTACTTTTATTCATGAGTATCAATATTCGTGGATTGAGCAAAAGTTACATGTTCATGGGTTCTTAAATTCGTGGATTTTAGTTTCCGGAAAAAAATTCAGGTGAAGAATTCAAACCCATCAGAAACGAAGATTCTTGAAAATACTCATATGGTGTTCATTTTCACTTACATGTTCGTCTTTCATTTCTGACAACATTCAATTTTTTTAAAAAAAATAATTGCTTTCAGAAATAAGCTGATTCATCTCTGAATACAATTGTCTCATTGAAGGAAATTGCAACTTTGAAAGTAAACGTTTTAATTGTTGCACATGTGTAATCAGAAGTGGTGACACTAATTAACCAGAGATCGAATGATCAACAGATAAACGATCATCAAGGGCCATGAACATATCATTTAAAGAAAAAGGTTGCATAAAAAATGCTACAAATGTACTTTGAATTACTACTTATGAGATAAGAAAGCAAGACCAATATGAAATTATCATTTTTTGTGAGAGAATTATGAGGAGATAAAATGAACACTTCCATCATCATATATCTTCAACGGAAGTCGGACTTTCATCTTTCAAAACCAATTTTTCATGAGAATAAAAAGGTTAAAAGCCAAGCGTACAACTTAGGTTATTTAAAGAATAAAATCCTGTCTAAAGTTGTACATGCTACGCCACTGCATATAGTTCATAGTGTGTTTGCTGATATTCGATGTCTTCTCTAGATTATATGCCCGTATCCATGTAGTCAAACAGGATCTTTCCATGTCCTGATTTGGACAACTGTTGTTATATTTCGTTTGACATTTAAATTCGTAGATAAAGCCTTCCACGAAAACCACGCAAATTTGTACCCCACGAATAAAAGTACTTGTACAGTATAGTTTTCAAGATAACAGACAAAACACCTAAATAGGTGCAACAACAGTGCACACGCTAAAATGTCTTGCCTACTTTACTGACCATTGATTTTATGTTGATAGTCCTAAATATAAAGTTTTACTACAAATATCACATAAACTTAACATGATACAAGAAAATGAGGTCAAGGTAAGATAAACCAAGCCAGAAATACATGTACACCTTACAATCATTCCATACACTGAATATAGTTGACCTATTGCTTATAGCATATGTATAGTATACAAGAAACAGACTAGACCATGAAAACTTTATATTGACCAATGAACCATGAAAATGAGGTCAAGGTAAGATGAACCCTGCCAGACAGACATGTACACCTTACAATCATTCCATGGATCAAATATAGTTGACCTATTGCATATAGCATCCAAGAAACGAACTTAAACAGGAAAACTTAACATTGACCAATGAACCATGAAAATGAGGTCAAGGTCAGATGACACCTGCCAGTTGGACATGCAGACCTTACAATCCTTCCATATACCTAATATAGTAGACCAATTGCTTATAGTATCTGAGATATGGACTTGACCATGAAAACTTAACCTTGTTCACTGATCCATGAAATGAGGTCGAGGTCAAGTGAATACTGAATGACAGGCGTGAGGACCTTGCAAGGTACGCACATACCAAATATAGTTATCCTATTACTCATAATAAGAGAAATTAAGATTACAAAAAATCAACTTTTTTTCCAAGTAGTCACTGAACCATGAAAATGAGGTCAAGGATAATGGACATATAACAGACAGAAACTTCATAACATCAGGCATCTATATACAAAGTATGAAGCATCCAGGTCTTCTACCTTCTAAAATATTAAGCTTTTAAGTAGTTAGTTAACGCTGCTGCCGGATCAATATCCCTATGTCAAGCTTGTCGCAGGCTCGACAAAAACTGTCATTTTAGGGCACAAACTTTGATAATCAAGTGTCTGTGAGCACTGAAGGGTAAAGATTGTATTCATTTTTGAGTGGGAACTATGAATTAAACATTGCAATGTATTAGGCATTGGATGGCAATAATATTGGAGATAATGGTTCAACTACTATTATGGACGAAGGAAAGCAACTTCAATTTAAATATAACTTTAACAATGACATCATTGATCATTTTAGAACAGCTACCAGATTTATGAACAATTTATGTAATTTTCTTGACAAGTTTGGTTGTACTTTAGTATATATTATTAAATTGATAAATTTTAAGAAATTTTCATGGATAGGATGTGTAGAATATTGAGCTCAATTTTTTTATCTCAAAAATAGTGATAAAGTATAATTGAATGATGAAACCAGTCATATTTATTTATTTCTAGATTTTTACCAACCTCTTTATTCACATAAACTGTCAAGCATACAGAAGATGTCATTTGACATAGTTAAAAAACAAATAAACTTTGGACATTCAATTTCTTCAGTTCCATCTCCTTTATTAAAGCAAATATTTAAATCAGCAAGGACAAAAATAATACCGGTACACTACAATGTTCTTGCACACATTTGGGTAAATGTAGATGTGTAATTGATATGCATTTTATTTTATCGATTTCCATTTCATTAACAATTTACATGCTTTAAATATTTTTATTGACATAAAAGTTCTGTCAATTATGTCACAGTACTAAAAAAATCTTCCATTCCAGTTAATTGTATTATGTGACATCTACCACATTCTGTCATGGTTAAGTTCTGAATAATACTCTGGAAAATAAAAATATTGGATCAAAGATATGCAATTACATCTTTCATTTTTTCATATCCAACTAAATTAAAGAAAACTATCATCATTCATAACTGTGTATTTAAAGTTTATTGGCTATCTGGATTTATTAGTATTTTTTAAAGTTCCTGTAAATATGCCAGCATTTTCTGAATTCAATGACGTAACATTCTGATTAAACTATAATATGATTGAAATTTTTCAAAATATTTACAACATGACTGCTAAAATTGTTTGAATCTTCTTGAAAAGAAGATTGCTTAAATTGCTTTGTGAACATGTTATTGTATTGGAAAAGTGACTAGCAACCATGTATTATGAAATCAGAACAAAGCAACAGTATTCTATTAAAAAGAAGGATAGGTTACACATTAAAGACAGATTTTGAATAACAATGCAACTTGTGTATACCAAGAAGTGTGAGATTGATTAATTGATAGTTGATTAACATCCAGTGGCAAATATGTCATGTATGTTAAGGATGAAAGAAGGGTGAGAAGGCTGTACAGTGACCTGTAGCTGTTAATTTCTGTGTCATTTGGTCTCTCTTGGAGAGTTGTCTCATTGGCAATCATACCTCATCTTCTTATTTTTATATTTATTGTAATTTTTCAGATCTACAGAACCAATCAACAATTAATGTGGTTTCCTCTTCCTGTTGTCAACTTGGTAAATATTCTTCTTTCTCGTTTCTCTCTTTGGCAGGATTATAAACTGCTTGGAATATTTGGTGAAAATAAAATCAAGAGACTGAATTAGGAAATACTTACACCCATTAACTATCTTCCATTTTTATTGGAATGCTTTTGAAATTAACAGGACTGTGCAACTACAATAACAAAAATATTAGTGTATGGTGAATGATGGAATTTCATTTTTTTTTTTTTTTATTTTACAGACCAGAAACAAAATCAGAAAATTTTAATATAAAAATTTGAAAGTTTTGCTATTCTAAAAGAAATGCTAATATTATAGATAAAAGTCTATTTCTTTGAAGATGATCAAAACAATTTTCTGCATGTATAAGTAATCAATTGGATGGAATCCATCTGATTTTTGTGCATAGGCACATCAGTAAACATATCCTTACTTTATTAGCCAAGGGTCTGACATTATTGTCATGGTATGATATGGTGACTGATATATGCACAATGATGGTATAGCAATTTTTTAAGTAGAAAATTTTGGGTTTTTACATGCAAGAACAAATTAGGAACTGGGTTTTTTAATTGAAGCATTTTAAGGTATATATGCTTACTACTTCCAAAATACAATAAGGGCAGCTGTATTCCATTTAAATAAATGAGGTGGGTACAAAGGAGCCTCAAAATTAAACTCCAGCCACAACCAACATAATTTCTTGTGTAATTTTAAGCACTTAAAAAGGATACATAAACATAAATGACCCAACAGCCCTAAAACTTTTTTCCAGCATATGCCTTGTTCTTCCAATTCAATGTTTTGATTATCAGACTCACAAACTATAAACCACATGAGATCCCAACATGTTAAAATGATTTGTAGAATCTATTGACGGTTTACTGTTTTCCCTAATCTCCACAAAAAGCGTGACAAACAATTTAACTATTTATAATTTAGATAATTGAATTACCAAATAAAAAAAAAAATGCATTTCAAATTAAGGTGATAACAGCATTTAAAGCCTTTCTCCTACTGTTTCAACCTCTGTGAAAATGCAGGTTATGCATTGAGAGAAAAACATTGGGTCATAATTATGACGTGTAGGAACTTTTTTCTGGCTGAATTTGAGTTTTCCGAGAGCAAATTGAGAAATTAAATATATGGAAATTTAAAATGTAATAATATATAATGGGAAACATTCTTATTACAACTCAATAATGGAAGGTGTACAACCTCAATAGTTTTGCTAACTTTCTTGTAATTTTCAAAGATCCAGGATAAAAACAAAAATTGTTAACAATTTTTAAAAACATTGAAGACTGAAGAAGTTCTGAAATTTGGAAAAGTGGGGAAAATTTCCTCAAACATTTCAAGAATAGCAGATGCACAACTGCAATATATGTGCAATCAGTTTTTGAAGTTTCAAGGATCTGGGTTGATAATTAATTTGAATACTTTAGTAGGAGTGAATTATATGAAATCGGTACTGACAATTGCAACTTTGAATAATTACTATATATAGCTAATTTCCCAAGTTTAGAATAATGGGTGGAAATTCCTAAAACAATTCCATAATAACAGGTGCACAACATCAACATGTGTGCAATCTTTCTTTGAAGTTTCAGGGTTCTTGGTTGAAAACTGTATAAAATAAGGTGTCTGACATCACCTCACTATACGCCAGCTTTTGATTTTGTCCAAACTAGCAAAAACAAGAATGTGTCCATAGTACACGGATGCCCCCACTCGCACTGTCATTTTCTATGTTCAGTGGACCGTGAAATTGGGGTCAAAACTCTAATTTGGCATTAAAACTAGAAAGATTATATCATAGGGAACATGTGTACTACGTTTCAAGTTGATTGGACTTCAACTTCATCAAAAACTACCTTGACCAAAAACTTTAACCTGAAGCGGGACAGACAGACAAATGAACGAACGGACCCACAGACCGAAAAACATAATGCCCCTAGGTGGGGCATAAAAATGTCAATGATTGTGAAGCCCTCTACACCCCATCTAAATTCACAACTTCATTTTATTAACAAATTTCAATAATCCTTACAACATTAGCTATTTCCATCCAGTCTAGGACTTGATGAAGTTTATCCTCCTGTGATGTCTTTTTGTCAAGATTCCAGAAATGAAATTTAGAAAATTTGTGTGTTGCTATCAGTTTTCTTTCTTCTTCATCTGTATAAGCTTTTCTTGTTTCCTTTAGTATTATACCTTTGAAAAAAAAGCTAAAAACATGCTAAATATGAAATAACCAAACAATTTAAATTGTCAATCACTTATCAAGAAAAAATAATTCTTTTTTTTTGCTGTTATCTTGTTATGATTTAATTGTTCACGACAAGTATTCTAAATCTATTTAAAACCTCAAACAGTTAAGTGTCAGAATTATTCTAATTTTTCTTTTAAATCATTTTACACACAAAGTTGTATATCTAATTCAGAAGTAATAGGGTGTAATCCATATATACTTTTGTAACATGATACATGTATCTCAAATACACAATAGAGATGGTTTGGCAAGCTTTATATATAAAGTTTCATCACAAACCTTCACATATATATTTATTCTTTACTTCTTAAACAGTATACCACACCTGTGTAACCTGAAGGAACTACTTTAACTTCACCATCAAGAGGCCTCCCTCTAAATGTAGATGTCAAACCTGAAAAAAATGCCATAATAGTAAATTGTTTTTTTTTAAACAATTTTAAAATTATATTTTTTGAATGGTCAAGGTTCTCATAAGTCATGTAAGTACATGTAGATATATTTTCATTGTTTAATACTCTATTTTAACTCATGTTCATATGAACTTTTATTTTTACCTAAGTTTATATAATACTGGACAAAATAAGTTACCGGTAAGGATTTTCCATTACATTCTCAACTAATATATTTCACATCAATATTATCAGTTAATTATATCTTCAATCATATGAAGCTGAACTGTACATGTATATCAGGAGAAGAAGAAAAAGAAGTTTTATAACATTCCATGAAGGTTTGTCAAAGTTATTGATGTCTAAATAATGTATTCCCAGACTGTCACTTATGTTACTGGTTACTGGTTACTTTAATTATTAGTAAATCAGGGAAAAATGAAAAAAAAAAATGTTCTAAATGTTAAAGACAAAGTCCTTTGATTAGTAAAACATATTTTAAAATATGCACGTTGAAGATAATGATTATAGGCTGATTGGGTAGTGAAACATTTCATACCATAACAGTTTATAACCTCTGCCATTTAGTACTCATGATCAAAATTTTCCAATTCGTACCCTATGGGCCAAATGCATATACCATTCCATACCTTATAGACTTAATATGAAATGGATCATATTTTTATAATTAAATTACATGTGTGTTTCATGAGAATCCGTTAGTTTGGCTAACAACAATCGTGCGTCCTTCAAAAATTAACCTTCATATCAAAATGAAATGTTACATTCATGATGACACCTGCTTCCACAAAAAGTGCACAGGTAAATAAAAGAAAAACTTGATAAAACTTTTTTTTCATGGTCTTATTAGCATAAAAATGTAATTATATGAAATGAATGCTTCTTTTTGTAATGTTATTGGGGTGTTAAAGTGTTGATCGTGCACACATTATTAGAATGAAGCGCAACTTTATACAAAATGTGCTTCGGTCAACATTCATTTCTTAAGTAAATCGTTACAATTTTGTACCAACATCTGTATTGCAGGGCCTAACTGGATTTAGAGGGAGAAGTGAAATTCCATTACCGTTTCGGTTGCTTTGTGTTTTCGTGCTTATCCATGTTATCTATGACATATACATTAGGAATTTTTTTAAGAAGATGCAATAATAAAAAACCTTCAGTGTTTTTATATGATACTGCCTATATTGAAAACCCTTTAAAAAATACAGAAATTATTGCGTGCATTTGTTATTGCTTTTTTAGAAGAATGGACAAAATTGTGAGATTAATTTTTGCGATTTTTGAAGAATGGACAAAATTGTGAGATTAATTATTGCGATTTCAGGAAAATTGAATTACAAATATTTGTATCAGATATAATAAAATGCTTCGCTGAGCGCAGCCTGATACGACTGCAGAGGTCGAACCCTGAACAGTTTGGGCAAATTTGGACACAATATTCAAGCTTGATACTGTCTGAATTTGGATTGTGATCAAATTTTTGACATAATATAGGTTTCTGACACAAAATAAATGTGGTCAAAGATCTTACAAATCTATTGCGCAATACTGTGCAATTGAAGATTTCTTCTTGAAACTTTTCAAAAATTCGAAATTTGAAAAATTTGGAAAAAAATACGAATCCCTTAAAAAAATTTGGAAAAAAAAATCCCCCCCCCCCCCACTTTTTGAAACCCCCCTTGGAGCAATAACCCCAAAACTCAATCCAAGCCTTTCCTTTGTAGTATGGAACATTGTAGTACAATTTCAGAGAGATCCATTCACTTAAACACAAGTTATTGTCTGGAAACTAGAAAAATGTTTGTTTTTTTACCTTTTTTGGCCCCTAATTCCTACATGTTTGGGGCAATTAACCCCAAACTCAATCACAGCCTTCCCTTTGTTATATGGAACCTTGTGGTACAATGTCAGAGAGATCCATACACTTACACACAAGTTATTGTCTGGAAACTAGAAAAATGCTTGTTTTTGGCCCCTTTTTGGCCTTTAATTCCTAAACTGTTGGCCCCATAACCCCTAAAATGAATCCCAACCTTCTACTTGTGGTATTAAACATTGTGGTACAATTTCAGAGCAATCGAAATACTTATACACAAGTTATTATCCTGAAACTAGAAAAAATGCTTGTTTTGGGCCCCTTTTTCCTAAACGATTGGGACCATCATCCCCAAAATCAATCCCAACCTTTCTTTTGTGGTATTGAACCTTCTTAAAAAATTTCATAGAGATCCATTCACTTTAACTAAAGTTATTGTCCGGAAACCAATGTGTCTTCGGACGACGACATCATACCATTATACGATCCCAAAAAATTTTTTGCGGTCGTATAAAAATGAGAGTTCTTAAATTGCGATAGTCGCATTATTCACATTAATAAAAACCTCTCAATAATTTCTGACTTTACAGTAGTATTGACCATGTAGTTATTTATTTAGTAATATTTTGTACTGTCTGTTAAATGCTGTCAACTTGAATTTAAGTTTAAATAAAATTTGTTGCTACAATGTAGCATATAATTCATTTTTCAAAAGTCTTGTGTTCATCTACCTCAATTTATTTTTAAAATTCAAGAAAAAAATAACTCCCAGATTGTATCGGATGTTTTTTTTTATTTTATCAAGAACTGTTTGAGAATGATTGAGTAATTTAATTCATCTGTCTGAACTTTTCAATGTTTCATTTTAATATATAAAAATGTTTTTCTGTTACAAATCATGATGTATTGTTTTATGTGTACATGTTATTCTTATTCTATTGCCACTTGTCATAATTTTGTAAGTCCAGGACATCATATCAGCTGTAATTTGAGCTTCTCATGAATGATTGTAGGTCAATAAATAAAGATAAAGATCTGTCATGTCAATCACATATTTATTATATATATTAACAAATACTTTTTACTTTTCACAAATTTGATTCAATTGATAAGAAGAAATCAGCCATTAATTCCCAACCCATAATCACCAAATAGTATAACTAGTAATGGTCAGGGGAATTAATGAAATAAGTGATTAATAAAGCATTCATTTAAGTAGCAAATTAGAAATTCTGTGAATTTGTAGTTTTACCAAAATTTTAAACATACAGGTTTGGATTATATCTTATTATTCGTAAAATTGAAACAAGAGGCTCTCAAGAGCCTGTGTCGCTCACCTGTATTTACTGATGCTTTGGAAATCATGTAAAATAAGGTTAAAATCATAATAGTATTAGATATTAGATATTATAATGATATCTAAGATAATAACAAACTAGAGGCTCTCAGGAGCCTGTGTTGCTCACCTGTATTTACTGATGCTTTGGAAATCATGTAAAATAAGGTTAAAATCATAATTAATAGTATTAGATACTAGATATTTTATGATATCTAAAATAATAACAAAAAAAACTGCAAAATTTTTGTAAAATTACTAACTCAGGGGCAGCAACCCGACAACGGGTTGTCGGATTCGTCTGAAAATTTCAGGGCAGATAAATCTAAATCTGATGAACATTTTTGCCACCTGTCAGATTTGCTCTAAATGCTTTAGTTTCAGAGATATAAACCTAAAACTGCATTTTACCCCTATGTTCTATTTTTAACCAAGTCGGCCATGATGGTTGGAAGGCGGGGTCATCGAACAAATTTTTTAAACTAGATACCCTAATAATGATTATGGCCAAGTATGGTTAAATTTGTCTCAGTAGTTTCAGAGAAGAAGATTTTTGTAAAAGATGACAAAAATTTACAAAAAATTGTTAAAATGACTATTAAGGGTAATAACTCCTAAAGGGGTCGACTGACAATTTTGGTCTTGACAACTTATTTGTAGATCTTACTTTGCTGAACATTATTGCTGTTTACAGTTTATCTCTATCTATAATAATATTCAAGATAATAACCAAAACTGCAAAATTTCCTTAAAATTACCAATTAAAAGGCTGCAACCCAACAACAGGTTGTCAGATTTATCTGAAAATTTCAGGGCAGATAGATCTTGACCTGATAATCAGTTTTGCCCTTTGTCAGATTTACTCTGAATGCTTTGGTTTCAGAGATATAAGCCAAAATCTACATTTTACCCCTATGTTCTATTTTTAGCCATGGCGGCCATCTTGGTTGGTTGGCGGGGTCATCGGACACATTTTTTAAACTAGATACCCTAATGATGATTGTGGCCAAGTTTGGTCAAATTTGGCCCAGTGGTTTCAGAGTAGAAGATTTTTGTAAAAAGCTAACGATGATGGACGACGACGAATACCAAGTGATGAGAAAAGCTCACTTGGCCCCTTTGGCCAGGTGAGCTAAAAAGTAAAATTTCTGTAAAATTACTAACTCAGGGGCAGCAACCCAACAACGGGTTGTCGGATTCGTCTGAAAATTTCAGGGCAGATAAATCTAAATCTGATGAACATTTTTGCCACCTGTCAGATTTGCTCTAAATGCTTTAGTTTCAGAGATATAAACCAAAAACTGCATTTTACCCCTATGTTCTATTTTTAACCAAGTCGGCCATGATGGTTGGAAGGCGAGGTCATCGGACAAATTTTTTAAACTAGATACCCTAATAATGATTATGGCCAAGTATAGTTAAATTTGTCTCAGTAGTTTCACAGAAGATTTTTGTAAAAGATTACAAAATTTTACGAAAAATTGTTAAATATTGACTATAAAGGGCAATAACTCCTTAAAGGGTCGACTGAACATTTTTGTCAAGTTGACTTATTTGTAGATCTTACTTTGTTGAACATTATTGCTGTTTACAGTTTATCTCTATCTATAATAATATTCAAGATAACCAAAAATGGCAAAATTTCCTTAAAATTACCAATTCAGAGGCAGCAACCCAATAACAAGTTGTCCCATTCATCTGAAAATTTCAGGGCAGATAGATCTTGACCTGATAAACAATTTAACCTCGTGTCAGATTTGCTCTAAATGCTTTGGTTTCAGAGATATAAGCCAAAATCTACATTTTACCCCTATGTTCTATTTTTAGCCATGGTGGCCATCTCGGTTGGTTGGTCGGGTCACCAGACACATTTTTTAAACTAGATACCCCAATGATGACTGTGGCCAAGTTTGGTTAAATTTGGCCCAGTAGTTTCAGAGGAGAAGATTTTTGTAAAAGTTAACGGACGACGGACGCCAAGTGATGAGAAAAGCTCACTTGGCCCTTTGGGCTAGTTGAGCTAAAAAAAATGAACCTTTAGCTTTTTTTAAGTAGCAAGGTTTATGCCTTTGATGCAATCATTCAGCTGTAAATTCTATATTTGTTGAAAAAATGCTATAATGAAGGCTTAACATAATGAACTAATACTTTCTTAACAGATTTTTCCCAGCAGTCATGGCAGTGGGAGTATTTTTCCCGTAAAATTCAAGGTTTCATCTTAAAGATTATGTAATAAAATTTCACTGTTCTTGATCAAAATTTTACTGTTCGGGGGTGTTGAAATTAGTGGGGGTAATTAAAATAATAATACTTAAAGAAGTGATTTTTTGGAAGAAAATAGAGGTATGATACTTAAACAAGTGATTTTCATGTCATTATCCCAGATTCAGTACAAGGTCATCACCTGACATGACCAGTCATCCTATGAACACAGATGTTGGTTCTCATAATTTTAGCAACATACATTGTAATTAGTCACTGGATCATTAGTATTATATGTTTAAAGCTACAATAAAATTAAATCACTTAGTCTAGTGATTTATTTATACTACTTAAATAGGTGATTATTAAAGAAAGACAACTCTTACTTCAAACATTTCTGGACAAAATGTAACTTGAATCAGTGATTTAATAATCACTCATTTAAGTAATTCCCCTGACTGGTAATAAATAATCAAAGCATCGTCAATGCTGTAATCCAGCCAATTTTTTAGCTAGTCAGAAATTTTTCTGTTCTCTCCTTTTTATTTATTTTCTCTTTTTACCAACTCTTGTAAGACATTTCAAGACAACCATATCAAAACTTGTGTTTAGTGATTTTGGCCAAAAATGTGAACTGGTGTTGACAAAATTTCTATTAAAAAAACAACTGAGAGAAGATACCAAGGAGCCAATCTAAAATCATGAGTCTAATAAAAATAAACAACAACACAAGGATTGAAATGTAGAACGTCAGGCCACAATTAAAAATATTTCAGTTTGCCCAAACCCGACCCAAGATGACTCGGTGTGGGTAGGTAGGTAGACAAATTCTTTTTTTTTTATCAGAATTTGCATGAAAATATTAAAACAGTATACAGTCGACTCCACTTAATCGCATACCGCTTAATAGCATAATTCGGTTAATTGCATAATTTTCTCCTGCACAAAACCATTTCCCATTCATCTAATGTTAAATTATCCGGTTATATGCATAGCCTTACAAGTGGCCTTTTGGTTAATTCAATGCATAGAAAATAATTGCCGGCTAGATATGCTTAGTTCAAACTGACGAGATTTTTTACCGGAAACAGCAATTTGGTAAGTATATTTTTCTTGAATGCATCATTATTTTCGTTATTATTTCATATTCACTTTTGTGTTATTAAAATAAAGTTTTAAAACAGTTTCTTTCGTGTTTATATGATCAAACTGATGGAGTTTTACTTTAAATAACCCTCGATGTGTACACAGGTGAAGTTTCCCATGTTCTATTTTAAGCCTCGAGGTCATTAAATGTCAAACAGGTAATTGTTGTAAAAACATGACCATTCTATCCCAAAAGGTATTAATTATTGATTGGATTTTAAGCATTGTCCATAGATAACATTTGGGGTGAATTTTAAAACCAATAACGCCTGCTAATTTACTTTGAAAGACCATCCAATGTGTACTCTCGCAATTCTGCTTGGGGTGATTTGCATTTATGTTAAACATTACAGGGCATTTATATATGGTTGAAGAATTTTATTCGTCAATCTTTTATTTTTATTATTTTTGGAAAAGAGCATTCACTTCTAATTATTATATTTTCACACTTTCAACACTCGAGTCCAGCAAATAACCCGTACACGGCCTCTTTACTGCTTTGCATATACAAAACTAACGAGGTTAAAGAAACAGTGTTACATCACTGTGCAAGCGGTAAATACTGCATATCAAAGGCAGTTCATTACACATTTATTGTTAAAAATGATAATAAACTGTGTAGTGTAGTTGAACAGCTTATTTTAATCAAAGTGTAATGATGTACATTGTACATACGGGTCATAGAAGCAAATCTATTTTTAGAACAATTTGTTCTAATTTTGTATCCCAGGTAAAGGAAACGTCAGTACGCAAATAAACTAAAACAAAATGTGTTTATAAATTTTATTAAAAGAATACAAAATACAATAACATGAATAACACTAAACTTATAACTTTTATTAGAATAAATCAACATTCAACATGCTATAAGTGGATTATGGCCATTCATCTTTCTTCAGGGATTTCCTTTACTGTTGATGTTATTTGACTCCGTAATTTGGCATTTCGGATATAAGCATACTCCGCTTAATTGCATAATTTTGTCTGACAAATAGGCTATGCAAATAACCGGAATCGACTGTATCTTTTTTTCCCGTCAAACCTTTGTAGAGACAATCAAAAGCCATGAAAAACTGTCTGCCATTTTCACTTTACTTCTTTACGTTCGTTAAAAAAGAAGATAAAAACCGAGAACATCGAATATCGATTAACTGCGTCTCTTACACGCTTTCTTTTAATCTTATTCAGTTACTTTCAAACGCAAAGACGACGAACATTAAGTTTTATACGATGACGGAGCGGACACGAAAAAAATCGGCAAAAAAAGAATCTGAGTCGGCGGGTTTTTTTTGGGTCGGTCGCGTTTGGGCAAACATACAATATTTTCATTTTGGCCTCATTTATATCATAATTTCACAAAATAAACTGTTGAGAGAATGGTGTGTCTTGCCTGTCTACCAAAAAATTCAGAAAAATACAATCTGATTAATTCAAAGTTGCTGGATCATGACTTAGGGGGCAGGGCCTTGAAATAGTCATCAAACTAATATGTATTTACAGAAGTCCATCTTTATAGAAAATATCATTGATCTTTCACAAGTATTTCCTATCAAACTGACTGGTCTATTACAACAATTTAACATTGAAAATTGCTAATTAATTCAGTCACTGGACCCTGATCTACAGGGGCAGGGCCTCAAAATAGTTGTCAAACTGATATATACTGATAGTGATGCAATTTTATAGGAAATATCATTGATCTATCCCAAGTAGTTCCAATTAAATATCTTAATGTTCAAGGGGTATATATATGCTTCCATTTTATTCAATGAGATTAGAAAAGAATTCTACAGAAGATAATACTTTGGAGATACGGTCAACTGGACTGACAATAAAGCATACACCTCGGGCCTGTAATTTTGTTATTGCATCTTTGTTTACCTTACCCTCATGGTCATGCAATCAGTTAACCCATCAAAATGTGTCCATCTTCTTAGCACTACTACAAGTTTCCATGCTTTAAACACTGTAGTTGCCTGTTTCTTTGAAATTTTTGAAGGTTTGTCTCAGCAAGCTATTGGTATCACGACGGAGCGTCTTTTTACCACAGAATACCACAGAACACCACAGAATACCCAAAATATACCACAGAACTACACAAAATACAATAAAAACTACTAAAATCTACCACAGAAAATTGAATTACTTTACAAAATGCAAAACTAAAAATTCAGAATTATATTATTTTTTTATAATTTCGGGCTACACTAATGATAGGACGATTGACCGGATGAGATATAAATTTATTTAATGGTCATAACTTTTTTTGTTATTTGGTAGATTTTTTTTTAAATTTGACAAAAGAACTCCTTTGTTACCACCTTTACCAGATAAAGCTTTCTCTGACTCTAAATTGCATTGGCACTGTTCAACATATTTACTAAACATAGTATTAACAAGCTAATGTACTAGTTTGTGATGTCCATCTGAGTTGCTGCTAGTGTTGTCAGAAAACTTTTCCCTGGACCATGCTGGAGACAACTACCAACATGCCTCTATACAATTTAAGGCCCTGCATAAATTCTATACATAAATTGGAGAAGATACACACACATCAAAAGAAAAGTCCCAAATCATCAAATTTGAAATTTTTGACTATTATAAAGACACACTTATAATATTTTATTAGTCAACTAAAATAACTGTCCAACAACAACTTCAAATATCTTTTTTGAAAGTATTTGGTAGCCCTTAAAGGACTGCTTTATATATTATTCAATATTTAATAATATACATGTACTTATTGTAACAACTCTTAACATAAAATTAAACAAAAATGACAACTACAAAAACGATAAATTCTGGTATATACAAAATAGATTTAAGATATAATTACATTATGCATCTAAACATTCTAAAAAATGGAAGAAAAAAAAAATAACAAGAAAAAATTAAAATGTATTTAAAAAAAATAAATGTCAGAAATATATCCCAGAATTACAATTGTTGACTTGTGACTTTAAATATTTTTTGTGTTTTAATACCGGTAGGTGTTTTTAACATAGCCCCAATAATAGGCCAATTCAGTTGGGGGCGTAGCGATAGTGAGTCGACACTAAATAGAAAAATAAAATTTATTTGAATAATAAATGTCAAATTAAAAAAAGAATTAACAATTACAATAATATAATGTCTGGAGTATTTATAATTCAAAGTTCTGTGGTATATTTTTGGTGTTCTGTGGTATTCTGTGGTGTTCTGTGGTAGTCTGTGGTGTTCTGTGGTATTCTGTGGTGTTCTGTGGTAGTCTGTAGTGTTCTGTGGTAAAAAGACGCTCCCGTATCACGACGTATACAGGGCCAGGGGCCAGTTAAAGCCCCCCTCCCTCCGTGTGATGGACTTTTTCGCTGCGTTGAAGACCCATTGGTGGCCTTGGGCTGTTTTCTGCTCTTCGGTCAGGTTGTTGTCTCTTTGACACACTCTCAATTCTATTATTAATTATGAAATAAATTGATTTGATTTGATTTATGATATACCTTTACTTTCCTTGTCTTGCTTTATGGAGCTTGAAAAATATTCTTCGACTTTTGCTTGACCATTGTAACTTATCTCACATGGTAAAAGGTGAGTTTTGCAATCCGGTGCCATATTACAAGAGACCACGTCTATAACTACAGCACTCATCATAACAACTGCTTAACCTTTGTTTATACTGTCAGTTTCCCGCGGATTTGTCAGATTTACAGGTATGCAGTAATCTATTTTGTGATTGGTTCAATCAACGGATTGGAAAGAAAATAGCTAATCAAATTAGTCGTTAGCAAAATTGGTCCACTTATTTCCGGTGTCATGGCAGCCCCCATGAAAAATTTGACTTTGAAAAATTTTTGTTCTTCTAAATACAATATCCTTTTGTTAAATTAACTGAAAAATGCAATAGTATATAACATTATGAGAAGATATAGATATTCAGCTTCTCAAAGGACTGGATGGAGAAGATACCTCCCTGTAATGTATGCTTTTACTGCATGGAATTTGTTTGGCTATGTAGCTTGGCATAAAATGATGAAGAATACTAAAGAAAAACATCCAGAATACGATTCTTTAAGTCAAAGTAAGCTGAAAAGCTATTTTAACTTTTTAACGCAGCTGTGTTCTCCAGTTATAAAATGGCACTCAACAAAAAAGGGGGGGGGGGGGGGGGGGGGGGGGGTTATAGGAATTCTAGTCACTTCGGCACCTGATCAAATCGGCACCCATTATAGTCAATTTGGCACCTAGTCAATTCGTGACCTGGTTAATTCGGCACCCACAAAAATGTAACATTATGTTTTGCAAGTAAACTATTAATTGAAGACTCCGTTTTTCATGATTTTTTTAGAATATTTTCACTAGAGGTTTCAACGTATATTTGTTGCGCGTAACAGAAGTTCCAAATGGAAACTTTGTCATAAACAATGGGGCCATACTATATGTTCCTATTGGAACTGATATAATAAAGCTGAGACTACTATAACACATACTGTTATAGTAGTCTCAGAATAAAGGAACCTCTATTTCATGACTACTGCACATTACTAGTAAAAATCAGCTACAAGATAGGTGCCAACGTTATTCATTTCAAGTAGACAGGAAAGGCAGGAAAATTTTTTATCCTCATCTGTTGATTAAACAACAGCTTGTGTAATGGCTTCTTTGTTTACTTAATTTTTAATTATAAGAGATCAAAAACTACCTGAAACTTCGTTAAAACAACAATCTGGTTATTGAAATTGATATAAGTTCATAAGTTTTTTAAAGTGATAATCAATCTAAACATTATAAATAGAATATTGAGAAAAGTTCAAACCAAAAGACAACTGATTATTGTTTAATGTGTATTCTTCCTGCTTAATTACATGTGCTGAGTTTTTAACGATGTACAAAATGAACCTCTGAAATTGTAAGTTTGGCAAAAAAATATATATAAAAAAAAAGGAACAACTATTCTCAATAAAAAGGAAACAAAAAGGTAAAAATATCATAAGCCATGGCCTTATCAGTTTATTTTCAACTTGTGAGTTTGAATGTCCCTTTGGTATCTTTCCCCTCTCCTTTAAAAATGTCAATAAGTCCCAGTTGAATTATCAAATTCAGAAATGACTTTAAATAGGTGCTGATTTGACTAGATGCCGATTTGACTAGGTGCCAGTTTGACTTTTTTTATAGGTACCGAATTGAACAGGTGCCGATTTGACTTGTACCCGGTTATATTGGTGCTTCCCTTTACCTGGTAGATTTATTACTGCAGCTAGTGGAGTGGGGAATGTAGCGGTGCCTTTACCGGGTAGATTTATATCTGCGATAGTTGAGTATTCCTTTAGCTCAAACGGTATAGTTGTGGCTAACTCTGTTACTGTGTCAGGGGTCCTGGATTTGAATCCAGCAATTAATTTTGGAAGGCAAGTCATGTGTGTTGACTTTTAATATTAGACCAATTAAAATTAATTGGTAGATTTTCCTTCCTGCCTGCCCCACTGATATCGTCCCGCCCCGATTTGTTTATTTTGAAAAATTCACAATTTTCTGGTTTTTGTTTGTTTCCTTTACCGGTAACCATGCTGATAATTTTGTTTCATAATTTCCAATTCCAAAATATTGACTTAGTTTTTCTTACATTGTCGTATTTCAAGTATTTTAACCAGCCTAATTAAAACAATCTACAATGGCTAAGTTACATTGCTAGACATGCTAGAAGGAGAGATTGATTATGGGAAGGGCTTGAAATATTCGGGATGTGAGTATTTAGCTGTATCAAAGAACACAAATTGCATTACACCACAAATTTCAATGATTAGAAACCCGTGGATTCTTTATTTATACAAAAAAGTGTAGAGAAATTTTACCATAAATTCCCATGAACATGATGAATGACATCCAAAGCACAAGAATCATGTCACACATTGCTATGAAAAACATGACTAAAGTAAAGAAATCAAGTTGCCCCAATTACAAACTTGTGTTTTGAATTACACTGATTTGGATGGTATATATGCGTACATGTATAAAATTTAAGTACAAAATGTTGGCCAATGTATCATCTACATGTATGTTCCCTCTGTACTCAATATAAATGTTTTTCATACCAATGTGTGTCGTGATTCTTGCTCTTTATTTGGATATCATTCATGGGGGTTTATCAATCTGATGTCTGGATGTGGATAGTTATCACTGCAAATTAGTTGGTAGGGCCCATGTGTTCCTGAAACACTGCTGCATTTGATGGGCACTACAAACATAGCTTTTGATTAGAAAGCTAAAGAAAATTGATGCAAGTAGTCTTAAAGAGAGCATTCTTCCAAATTTTGCTACTGACTGAAAATTAGAATAGTGGTTGCCACTCAGAAATATTATTTGGAAATAGTTAAAAAAGTATGCAGAATTCTTTATATATAATTAGCTATTTGTGTTACCCCAAAATATGAAGAACACATTACAAAAGGGTTTCAGAGGAAAGAAAAATTAAATCCTCACACCAGTCCTAATTATGCCCCCGCCGTAGCGGAGGGGGCATTAAGTTTTACCCTTGTCCGTCTGTACGTACGTACGTACGTCCCAAAATTGGTTTCCGTTTTCTAACTTTAGTTTGCCTCTACCAAATGTTATGAAACTTATAGACAATGCTTATTACCACAAAACACAGATCAAGTTTGAATTTTGGTGGCCTCATTTTTACCGTTCTAGAGTTATGCCCCTTTACAAATGGAAAATTGATAAATTTATCAATTCCGTTCTCTATCTTTAGTTTGCCTCAACCAAATGTTATGAAACTTATACACAATGCTTATTACCACAAAACACAGATCAAGTTTGAATTTTGGTGGCGTCACTTTTACCGTTCTAGATCTAGAGTTATGCCACTTTACAAATGGAAAAATTGCTGAATTTTTGGTTTTTGTTCTCTACTTAAGTTAGCCTCAACCAAATGTTATGAACTTATACAAAATGCTTATTACCACAAAACACAGATCAAGATTGAATTTTGGTGGCGTCACTTTTACCGTTCTAGAGTTATGCCCCATTATAAATGGAAAAATTGCAAAATTTTTATTTTCTTCTTAATATCTAGTAATTTTTAAAATTGAGTTATCTTCCTTTGTCCATGATTATAGTTGAATCAACTACAATCAATGATTTATACAATGCAATGTTTAATTTTGACTTCCACTGATAAAACACAGATCAAGTTGAATTTGGGGAGTGTCACTTTAACAATTATTGAGTTATGCCCCTTTATAAATCGAAAGATTGCAAAATTTTTAGTTTCCATTCTGTAACTTAAGTTTGCCCCAACCAAACATTATGAAACCTATACACAATATTCATTACCACAAAACTAAGATCAAGTACAAATTTTTTGTTTCCGTTTTCTAACTTTAGTTTGCCTCAACCAAATGTAACTTATTATTGTTATGAAACTTATACACTTAATGCTTATTACTACATAATACAGATTAAGTACAAAATTTGGTGGCGACACTTTTACCATTCTTGAGTTATGTCCCTTTATAAACATAAAAATTGCTGAATTTTTCGTTTCTGTTCTCTAACTTTAGTTTGTCTCAACAAAATGTTAAAAAACTTAGAAACACAACCGTTCTAGAGTTATATGCGTGTTTACAAATAGAAAAATTGCTGAATTTTTAGTTTCTGTTCTCTACTTAAGTTAGCCTCAATCAAATGTTATGAGACTTACACAAAATGCTTATTACCACAAAACTCAGATCAAGTTCAAATTTGGGTAGCGTCACTTGACCGTTCTTCAGTTATGTCCCTTTATAACTATATGATATGCAAGTGGGGGCATCATCTGTGTCCACATGTGGACACTATCCACATTTATTTTTCCTATAAATTGTATGAAAATCTACTTATCATTTTTAGTTGGCCTTAGTCAGGTGTTACCAATATTCATTGAAAAAGGATGAAGTCTGTTAGCTAGCTACATGTACATGATGTATGTAAAAAAAGTCTTACTTATTTTCCAAAATTTAAGTACATGTATAATTTGTTTCTTATTACTAAAGTTCTCATTTTTGTTCAAGCCTGTGACATTTATGTAGCAAAAGTGAGACATAGCAATCCTAGATTCATTCGTCTGCATTAGCGTCATATAGGGTATATGTTAACCTGGTGCTGTATTTATGAGATAAAAAAAATATATATCAAAATAACTCATAAATAGAAAGAAATATAAAATTACTAGTCCACTAGTATGTTATTAAGATGAAAAAATCAAATAACATATCTATCTAGACCATACATGTACATCAGAAAAGTAAAACACAAAATAAAAAACCTGCACAGTCCAGCTACCAACAGGATGACCACTTACTAAAACACAAAATATAAGACCTGCACAGTCCAGCTACCAACAGGATGACCACTTACTAAAACACAAAATAAAAGACCTGCACAGTCCAGCTACTAATTGCAACAGGATGACCACTTACTAAAACACAATATAAAAGACCTGCACAGTCCAGCTACCAACAGGATGACCACTTACTAAAACACAAAATATAAGACCTGCACAGTCCAGCTACCAACAGGATGACCACTTACTAAAACACAAAATAAAAGACCTGCACAGTCCAGCTACTAATTGCAACAGGATGACCACTTACTAAAACACAATATAAAAGACCTGCACAGTCCAGCTACCAACAGGATGACCACTTACTAAAACACAATATAAAAAACCTGCACAGTCCAGCTACCAACAGGATGACCACTTACTAAAACACAAAATAAAAAACCTGCACAGTCCAGCTACCAACATGATGACCCTTTACTAAAACAAAGAAATAAAAAATATGCACAGTCCAGCTACCAACAGGATGACCACTTACTAAAACACAAAATAAAAAAAACCTGCACAGTCCAGCTATCAACAGGATGACCACTTGCTAAAACACAAAATAAAAAACCTGCACAGTCCAGCTACCAACATGATGACCCTTTACTAAAACAAAGAAATAAAAAATATGCACAGTCCAGCTACCAACAGGATGACCACTTACTAAAACACAAAATAAAAGACCTGCACAGTCCAGCTACCAACAGGATGACCACTTACTAAAACACAAAATAAAAGACCTGCACAGTCCAGCTATCAACAGGATGACCACTTACTAAAACACAAAATAAAATACCTGCACAGTCCAGCTATCAACAGGATGACCACTTACTAAAACACAAAATAAAAAACCTGCACAGTCCAGCTACCAACAGGATGACCATTTACTAAAACACAAAATAAAAAACCTGCACAGTCCAGCTACCAACAGGATGACCACTTACTTAAACACAAAATAAAAAACCTGCACAGTCCAGCTACCAACAGGATGACCACTTACTAAAACACAAAATAAAAAACCTGCACAGTCCAGCTACCAACAGGATGACCACTTACTAAAACACAAAATAAAAAACCTGCACAGTCCAGCTACCAACAGGATGACCACTTACTAAAACAAAGAAATAAAAGACACCACATACACCATGTACATGTTATTTGGAAAGTGTGATGATAATCATTGCATCATGACAGGAACTACTTTCTTAGAAGTGATTTCAGTACGTTATTGTTCTACTGGATCTAAATTTTCCTTGTAGCACAAAAAGCATTATTAGTGTATGGATATGCTGATTCAAATACAAAGACTACAAAAATTACCCTGGGTACTAGAGGCATGAAAGTGGAAGAAATGGCAGGCAAAGATTTATTTGACAAGTACAATAAAGAAGGAGAGCAAGTAGAAATGTAAGTAAAGGATGCATTTATTAGTATGTATAATTCACATGTATCTATAACACATGTATAACATTAAGAAGATGTGGTAGGATTGCCAATGAGACAACTCTTAACCAGAGACCAAATGACGTAGAAGTTAGCAACCATAGGTCACGGTATGGCCTTCAACAATGAGCAAAACCATACCGCATTGCAAAGTATAAAAGGCCCCAAAATGACAAATTTAAAACGAGAAAACTAACTGCCTGATTTATGAACAAAATGATAAACAAATATGAAATACAGCAACAAATGACAACCACTGAATTACAGACTCCTGACTTTGAACAGACACACAAAGAAAGAGGCAGGGTTAAACATGTTAGTAGGTGCCCAACCCTTCCCATTTCTACTTGTTAAACATAGTTCATGATCAGCTACATGTATGATCAACACAATTTTGGCATGCCTCATCCCTTTACCATACATTCACATGTTTAAAACTCCTTAGAGTGAATTAACATCAATCTAACTTGCCTCACCCAATTTTTGAGTGTCATACATGTACAAGGGTATTCCATCATGATCGATAAATCCATAAATAAATTATTTGAAATTAGATTTGGTGCAAAGAGCACACTTGATTTATGTGTCATCCAAGAACATTAACTGATTAATGACTGCTGGTGTATATATTTTAGTTGACAATAGACTTTTCCTTTTAATAGCAATACACAAACATGTTTGACAAATGTACATGTTTATTTGGTAGAACAGTGAATTTATATAAAAAAAAACTGCAATATATATATATAGATCTCCTCTTGAATTGCTTATAAGTATAAAACTGTATTTTTGGATGTTTAAAATTGTTATGTCATCATAGTTATAAAAAGATATGGTGAACAATATGTTTAATATTCAAGGTAAAAAAAAATAGAACCAAATTTTAATGTCACCCTCCTTTCTATTGTAACCCTTTTTTGATAAATACACACTAATAAATGGTTATTAATTTTACAACACTTTTTTCTCATGTAAATATTAATGATTTTTGGGAAAACCATAACATGTCATAACTTGTTTTTTATGTTCAGGAATTTTAAAAATAAAATGCTACTTGACCAAACTAAGAGAAAAACATCCCATCTCTCGGTATCAATTTTAAGTAGATGGATGAAACTTTTCCCAAATCACTTTGGAAATCTAATTTTAATGTTATTTTTCAGGTCAGTTGAAAATGTAGTTGAAGCGGATGAATGAGAAGAAGGCAGATGATTTATTAGAAGATTTTAGTGATACTCGTTACATTATTGACCATGTCATGGTCTACTGAAATTAGGGATATAATTCAGTGATTTACTCTTTTGTTAATGACTATTGTTTACAGATGTATTTTTGTTTTAAAATGAATGTCATCTAATAAAGAACATGTTTTTATTTAACTTAAAAGGATTGTATATAAGGTAGATGTCAGGATCAGTGGCAAAATTGTATACAATATATAACAATTATGGACAGAGACCTCAGTTTAGTGTCACCACTCTCAATATTTCACCATCCAACTAAGGAATGATGAAAACATATCTATCAATTGTGGATGAATAGTTGTGAAGCAATGATAATATTACCCGACAGTGTTCAGTTGTAGGTAGTGACACCATGGATCACTTCTGATGTCTGACAGTAGCCAGTTGTTGGTTGCTTCATATATGGGTTTACTTATGTTGTCTTGCATCATCCTTTGGTTTTCATCTGTGTCTCACTTTGATTATCCACAACACAGATTGACAGAATTCAACCAAACATGCTTAGATTCGTCTATAGGACATGAATTTGGGTACCTGCTGTAGTTTTTGATCTGAATTATTTTGGGGATTTCCCAGACCAATACTTAGATTTAATAGTTCTGCCTAACAGTGTCAGTTTGTAATTAATCTGCAACGCCTTCAAAATGGCTTGACAGGATTCCACCAAACTTTGGTTTTCCCTTACCAAACCATGGTCATTGATGTATCCATTTCCTTATATTATTTGGAAACAACAGACCACACAAGTCTGCCTTGAGAAGCCAACACATTTTTATAAGAAGTATACACAATGCAGATTCTTTTTCTATCAGCTTTAGTAGGCTAACAACTGGTATATAATGAGTAGTCTCCCCATCATGATGATTATGTATAATTCCAGGTATTTATATCTGTTACCAAAAATGATTGATTTATTGATTTTTGCTTGCTTAACGTCCAGTGATGTATATTTCATGCATAATCAATAAGAGATCAAACAATTTATACAATAGGTAGGTTCTTCAAGGCATGTTGATTGATTTGTAGTTCGTGTCCACCTGATAATTGTAGCTTTCCATCAAATTGAGTGTCTGCTAAAAACACAAAATGGTTAAAAATCATCATTCAAGGGCAATAGCTCATATAAGAGGTCTTCTGACAATGTCGGCCATGTTGACTTATTAGTAGATCATTTTTGCAAAACTTTTCTTTCAATCTGTTAAATAAAGTTTCTGCAAAAAAAAAATGGATAAAAAGTGGTTTCAGGTTGCACTTTGTAAATACAGCTGTTTCACAAGCCACGCCTCTTTTGGGGAGATATATAATATTCATAGATATTTTGTTTTGCTACGTATACTGGTTCCCAGATATGATCTCTATGTTTCATCTCATAGAGAAATAACTTGGGTATGTTACCAGTATGAAAACACATGGCAGCCGTGAAAAATGAATTCTGATGAAGACCCAAACTGAAGGTAGGGGTAGAACAGAATTTTAGTATAAGTTTAAACTCTTAGAAGTTCGGGGCATATAAATGTTGAAAATATGCCGCACAGCCCTATGTTTTGACTTTTGAATAAAAAAAGTAGTGCATATCAACTTTCCGTTCTAAGATATAATTTTTTACGAAACTTTATAGTAAAGATTGCACAGCTTTAGCTGCAAAGGGAGTTCATATGGGAAATTGCATTGTCTATATTTACAGAAGTGCAACCTTCAAGCGAAATAACTCCTATCAGGAGTCAACAGACAGTTTTTGGCCATGTTGACTGATTTGTAGATCTCTTCCTGTTAATCACTTCTGCTTCTTAAACTTTCTCCCAAACTATTATTGTTAATGCAAAAATAACAGAAAATCGTTAAAAATAGTCCTTCAAGGATAACAACTATAAGGAGTCAACTAACAATTTCAGCCATATTGTTGCCATATACAGTTTCTCCCTATGAACTAGAGCTTACCAAAAAATGGATCAAAAGGGTCTTTGAAGGACAATAACTATAAGCATAACAAGCGACTCTTCAAAGGAGTTTTAGCCCTAGAATGACAGTTTTTACCAAGTTTTTGTGTTATTGCCTATTATCTTGAAAATTATAATTGCAAAAAATATCAGCAAGATCTACAAACAAGTCAACGTGGTTGATTAATCAATAATATATAGGAGCTATTGACCCTCAATGACTTTTACAACCAATTTTTTGCCTTTTTTTACCAAAAATAAAGTAGATAAAGATAATTGATAAACAGCAAAAACGATCAGCAGGAAAATTTCTGCAAATATCAAAATAGCCAATATCGTCAGTTAACTCCTTTTAGGAGTTTTTGATCTCTAATGATGATTGTAATCATTTTTGTCTTGCCATGCACCAACAGTCGCAAAATGCGAGACCGGGATTATATTCTGGCTGTGTAAACTATATGTATAAAGCTTTTTATTTCAGAGGGCAGAAAACCTGAATGCTTTATTATACCTTGTAAACAGACAGATGCCAAATGTTACAAAGTTTCTGTCTGTTATATGTCCATTGTCCTTGACCTCATTTTTATGGTTCAATGACTGCTTAAAATAATGTATAGTTTTTTGTCATGACATGTAAATTTTTTACCAATTATGAGTAATAATGTAATTATATTTGGTATATGCATTCCTTGCAAGATTTACATAATAGAAAAACAAAGGATATGGGGTATCCATCCATGACACAAAATCAGTACATGCACAGCAAAAAAACACATAAAAAGCAAAGGAACACTGCAGTGCTTTTATTGCTGTTTTTCATCTCAAAGTCACAGTAAGGCCTTCACGGAGCAAAAAAACTCTCATGTGTGTCAGACAGTGTTCACCTGACAACGTGACCTCATTTCATGGATTAGTAATCAAGTTTAAATTACGTGATAAGTATTATTTCTTTAGGTACGAAAAGCAGGTCAAATACATGTTTATGCTGTGTATGGAATGATAGTATGGTGAAATTGTAAATCTTTTAGGTTTCATCTGACCTTGACCTCATTTTCATGGTTCATTTGCTCAATTTTTAGGTCTGTTTTTCAAATACTGTAAATTATAGGTTAACTATATTTGGTGTTAGGAATGATTGTATGGTGAACATGTCTGTCTGGCAAGTATCAACTGTCCTTGTCCTCATTTTCATGGTACATGTCTATCTGGCATGTATCATCTAACATTGACCTCATTTTAATAGTTAATTGGTTATTGTTAATTAAGTTCTCATGGTTTTGTTTGTTTCTTGGATATGATAGTAAAAGCAATAGGTCAACTATATTTGGTGTTGGAAGGATTGTAAGGTGTAAATGTTCGTCTGGCAGGGTTAATCTGACATTAACCTCATTGTCATGGATTGTCGATAATTTTAAGTTTATGAGATACTTGCAGTAAAGACTTTCAATATAAAATCAATCATGGTCAGGAAAGCAGTTGAGACATTTCAACATGAGCGCTCTTATTTTTGCATTTAAAAAAAAAAAAAAAATGCAAAAACTGTAATAGATGAAGAAAAATGTTAACAACAAATATGATCAGCAAGACCAGATCAACAACAAAGAGATCATTGTCATGGATTATATTCTATTCTTCAATTTTGAAAATGCACATAGATCCAGATGATGGATACAGGCCCTTTATAGCCTTTAATTCGTGTTGCTGTTGCATTGACACTTTTAACCTATCTTACAAAAACAGCAAAATTCAATATTTCAGGGCCAGCATTTGACAACTACAAAATATGCTGTAAAATTTTCTAAAGAGTATATAGATCTTGACATGCTGATCATTACAATTTACTCTTTTACCCTAACTCCTATAGTTTTCAAGATTACAGCAAAAAATTAGAAAGAAAGGATATTTAAGGGGCAATAACTCCAAAAGTTTCTGACATTTTCAGGGTTAATAGATCTTGGTGTGCTGATAATTTTTGCACTTTACATTTTTATACGCCCAATAACGGGACGTACAATGATATACCATTGTCTGTCCATCGTCAACATGTCGGACAATAACTCAAAAATCCTTTGAGCAGTGTTCATGAAACTTTGGTGACTGGTTTATATCTATCAAAATAAGCTCCCTTTAGTTTCTTTAGAACTTTATTGGTTGAAAAAGCGACAGACGTATCATGCGCTCATGGCGCAGGTCTTTATTATTCATGTTATTATTATGTACTGCTATTATATTCAAGATAAATGTCAAAATAGTTATTTCAGGGGTTGTTGGATTTTCTCCAATTTTCAGGGTAGATACATCTGACATGTCTTGCTGATCATTTTTGCAAGTAGCTCCTATAGTTTTTTTTAAAATATAACAGTCAAAAACTGTGAACATTGGTAAAAACTTACATTTCAGGGGCAATAACTTAGCTAGAGGCTCAAAAGAGCCTGTGTAACTCACCTGCATCTTCAACAATGGCCACTTTTAAGTAAAAATCATCATTAAAGGGGAATAACTCTATTAAGAGTCAACTGACAATTTCAGTCATGTAAACATATTTGTAGATCTTACCCTGCTGATAATTTTTCCTTTTTAAAGTTTCTTTCTTTCTATTATCGTTTTCAAGATAATAGGCAAAAAATGCATAAAAATGATAAATAAATTGTTAACACAGAGATATATCTCGCCTATTTGTTATTTTGATAATGCAAATGTTGAAATTAAAATATCAATACTTTAACATGCAACTTATGCAAATATTCAAAGTCAATGAACCATGACTGAAGGTACAGGGCTAAACAATCTCCATGGAAATGATATGTGCCAATGCTAATACAACTGCAAACCAAATACCATTGACTTTTCATAAGTCGTTCCCTTTAAACAAACCCAAACGCAAACAGTAACTTGTAAACTATGTAAAAGTTTCAAAGTCAATGATCCATAATTAGGGGGTGGGGTTATATAATCTCCATGGAAATGAAACTTGCAAATGCCAATACATTTGCATACTGAATATCATTGACTTAACATTAGTGGTTCATCTTAAACTGACCTAATCACAAACTAATACATGTCAACTAAGCAAAAGTTTCAAAGTCAATAGACCATGAATGAGGTGGCGGGGCCAAATAATCTCCATCGAAATGAGATATGCCAATGCTTATACAACTACATACCAAATATCATTGACCTACCACTATTGGTTCCCCA